TTTCAGTTGCAGTTCCAGCATAATTGAACGGATTATATCGCACCGCGCGGAGATCAGCGAACCGCCTGTGCTAGAGCTTTTTGATCTATCTATAGCTAAATGTATCTCAGCCTTAGAAACGCAATACGTTTTAAAACGTATCCTTCGTCCTACCGCTCTTCAAAATTGGCACGGCACTCCGAGACGAAGAAACGGAGGAACGAATCAAACCACCTATGGTAGGCGCTAAAGAGTCCACTCTGGTGTGTGTACCTACTCGGCCTCTGAACCGGCATGGAGGATCATGGAGCATCGTGAGACCTACTACCCAGTAGTCTGCAGTTTGATGAATCACGGCCGTCTAATGCTTTCAGTGGTCGATCATTCTCGAGTGCCTGCTGTAAGTGCCCAGGTCTGTGGGTAGAACGGGCCATTTCAACAGGCTATTGAGTTCCCTTTGGCTCACCCCCATGGTCAGGTGAAACGTTTGAGTCGTCGACTCTTATTGCTTCCTGGTGGACCGAATTCGTGAAAATAAATAAAGCCGTCTCACTCTCACCTCTCGCCTCAGTGTGGTTTACCATCGAACAAAGACTGACTGGGCCATTTTGCTTTCAATTTCATTCTAGCAATACAATGAATGAAAAAAATACAACATTTTAATGGTTTTCATCATCTGAAAACCTTTAAAATTACAGTACAAAACTGAAAACTGTACACTTACCGGTAAGCATGATACCTTAGCATGCACAAATGAAAAACAAATTATTCTATGATGTCATATGACACCAGAGATTCTCGCTCAGTAAAAGAAGAAAGACTGCCTTGCATTTCTCCTTCCTTGCGACATTCAAATAGAACTCCTCTTTTCTCAAGGGACCTCAAATCCTTTTACAACACGGAGAACGAGGGTGGCACTGTTTTCAAGACTGTTATTATTCGATTTGATTATATAATACGAAATTATGAGGATATTGGTGGGAGTCAAGAGAGTGATTGATTATGCTGTCAAGGTAATAAAATCCTGCTCATTTGATATCACCTATGTTTTAAAAATTGCCGCCCCGAAAAGTGAAAACGGTCAATTTCTCAAAATCATCATAGGCTGAGGCTGAATTGCTTTGTTTGCTCATTCTTGTTGCATGTTGTACATTTTTGCTTTAATTTCATTTAATACATTTTCATTTCACAGTCTTTCCATCTTGTCATAATCACTACATTTCCATGACACATCTAATTCGATTTAGCGGAGTTTCATGTGCGTTTTTCTCGGATAGGTACCATTCACCTTATGCAATAATGACTTGAGTGTATATATTGTTTTAGCTAGCACCTAATCTTATATTTATATGTTTTAAATGGTGTCTAAATGCTATGATTGAGCTAAACCGCTTTGCAAAACTGGCTTAACTTATGTCATGGAATTGTGACCAATGAGTAAAGGAGATATCTGCAAACTTCTGTCATTAAATATCAATGATCCAGGGTCTGAAAGATAGATAGGCACTTCAGCATTTGCTCTGCAACCTACTTATGTATTACTTCAAACTTTTAAGCACTATTTTAACTGGTCAGTTGATTGCATAGTTTGGTTTTACATGGTTATTACTTACCTGGTTTTACTTGGCTTACTGTCCTCTGTCCTTGTGCTAGTCCAAGGTAGGTAGCTTCTAGGCTAACCCCCAAATAACCATTCCTTGTGCAGGTGCGGGTGCGGCCAGACAAGAAGGGGGTTGTCACTGATGGAGTCAAACACTCCATGAACCCTTTTGATGAAATTGCTGTGGAGGAGGCCATCAGACTGAAGGAGAAAAAGATTGCCAAGGAAGTGGTGGCGCTCTCCATCGGACCCACCCAGGCTCAGGTGGGTGTGAGCCAGGAGTGGAGAATTGGAGATGATAGCTTAGTACTGTGCCAAATATCAACAATGACAGTATAGTATGAGCCATGAGGTAGGTGTTTCATATTTGGTAGGTACTTTTTGTAATGGGTATAAAGCATAATCAGCATTCGATAGTGAATTACAACACATAACATTTTACATAAATCCTAAGCATATGTTGAATGAAACCATTTGCCATCAGAACTATGCTTCAAAGCATATTCTGCTTGTCTCTGGCATCTCCTGTTTTTGTGTCAACTGCCATGTGGTGTGTCATAGCTTTTAGGTTTTTTTTTATTTTACATGTCACCTCTTGCCTACGCAGTCATAGGCACTGAGGGACTATCAGTAAGTAAGAATCTGAACTCAGCATCTTTACTACAAATAGGGCTCTAATTTTGTTGAGATGTGAACAGACACATGCATCAATTTTAGCTCCTATGATGCTCTGAAGAGGCCAATTTTACTGGATACACTAGATAAATCAGTTTGTGAGTTTCATCCGCGACACGATGTAGCGACCGATTGGCCTAGTTTTGGCTGGCCTGTGCTCCAGGAGACGCTGCGGACCGCGCTGGCGATGGGCGCCGACTCCGCCATCCACGTGGAGGTGCCGGCCGGGGAGCTGGAGCGCGTCCAGCCGCTGCACGTCAGCCGCATCATCTCCAAGCTGGCCACCGAGGGCAAGTTCGACCTGGTCATGGTCGGCAAACAGGCCATCGACGACGACTGCAACCAGACGGCGCAGATGACGGCCGCCATGCTGGACTGGCCGCAGGCCACGTTCGCCTCCAAGGTGAGCGCCGCAGGCTACTTTCGTTTGCAAGGTGACCATCGGGTGTATTTAGCGTAGTTCGAACGTAGCTTGCATCCGTATGAGTTACACATGCGGACTGCCTTGGCTGCTTGCGCAGTGGACTTTATTTTCCTCGCTAATTTGTCTTTCTTTATATGACACCTTGGTTACAATCGTGATAATTCTGACTATTTTTTAGACGTGATTTGTTGATTCGTTATCGTTTCCCAGCCGAGCTGACAACCTGAATATTCGATCACGTCCTGCTGAGGATTAATGCGCAAAATGAACACACATAATGTGAAGGTAACAACGACATGCTTGCGTTATACTGTGGCCGTGCGATGTGTTTTGCGGTATCGGTGACCGCCCATACCTCCACACCAGCTCGCTCCGACTCCGACTCCCTCCACAGGTGGAGAAGGACGGCGACTACCTGAAGGTGACTCGCGAGATTGACGGCGGCCTGGAGACCATCAAGGTGGGCGTGCCGGCCGTCATCTCGGCAGACCTGCGACTCAACGAGCCCCGCTACGCCACCCTGCCCAACATCATGGTGAGCGACTGACGGATTGGTCCGTACGCCGACACCGGGAACGGTACCGGTAGACGCCGTGCCACAGAATTGCTTAGCTGCTGAGGCTCGCTGATGGAGCCTGCAGCCATCATGAAGGAAAACATTGATTGCGGGCAAAGAACGCCGTTATTAGTCATTACACGCATTGTCCTCTTTTTATTGACTTTGATTGTTTTGTGATTTATCGACAAGGTATCGTCCTTATAATCCCTTTAATACGGAATCGCGCATTTTTATCTCGCATTTGGTTTTGCTGTTATCGGTTAAATGATTGCAGTATGCCCTGAAACTCGCCACTCAACATTAATTTGTAAGCTGACGAGATGGATCACTTTTTGCAATCTCCGATCTCTTCACCCTGCAGAAAGCGAAGAAGAAGCCGATCAAGAAGATGAAGGCGTCTGAGCTGGGCGTCGACCTGACGCCGACGATCGAGGTCATCTCCGTGGAGGATCCCCCGGTGCGCGCGGCGGGCATCAAGGTCGAGGACGTCGATACGCTCATCGCCAAACTGAAGGAGGCGGGACGGGTCTGAGCGACAAATGGTGAGTAACCACCACTGGTGACCAGAAGGTTGTGATGGTGCTGGCTTTTACTTGATTTAAACTGGAATGTGTGCTGATGAAACTATCTGACAGATATATGAGAAACTGATTCCTACTGACTTGTTGGGGGAATATTATCTGTCATTTCTCTCTGGGAAAACGTTGTAGAACGTAGATACCCGCTGTTCCGCTGTAAGATCCGAGCCGTACGCTGATACCATTTCCCTGGCCTTTCTCAGCTTATCGTCACAGCGACTCCAGTAGAGGCTACCGCGAGGCGGAGTCTCGCCCACCCAGCGATGGGTGTCTACAATGCAATGAATATGACCCGGGCCATACAGTGCTCAGCTGGCGTCCGGAGCTGTGAAAACTCCACCGAGGCTACTCGGAGCGGGGTGTCATACAGCTGGGGAGCATCGGGCCGATATGATACAGATGGGGATACTATAGCCCGCCCTCGGCAGTGGGGTGTCGACTCAGACTCAGCACCGGCCGGCCGGGCACGGCGACCTGCGGTGGGCGGATCACGACCGCGGCGCTCCCGTCTCCTGCGATACACCGCTTGGGTGCCCCGAAAATCGGTGCTGAGGATATTTGTATCACTGTATGCGTGATCATGCTGGTTTAGTTTCGGTTTTTAAAATATGGCAGAGGCGAATGTTGGTCAGGTAAACGAATAATACATGTGGCTCTTGGACTTGGTGCCCCATGGCGTTAACTATTCTTCGTACTCGGAAAACGACTGACGATGACTTCTGACGCAACCATGCGTAATTGCGTACTCGATTGACAAATACATAGACTAACAACGACTGACTGATACATACCAATGCCATCCGTGGTACAGTTAACTGACGCACAAACCGGGAAGCCGCGCAGTGGTCAATCCATTAGGTGTTTTTTTTCATATAGGCCTTTGCCTGTCAGAGTATGGCGGTATAGGCCTTTGGAGGGCATGGCTCTTGCATCCTATACATAATTAACCTTCAGAGCCCGACCACTAAATGACGCTAAGGTATGACGTCATCGCAAAACGCTAGCGCGCTGCGCTGCCAGCGCCAGCAGCACACTAGCAGCATTCGCACTCAAATATCTGTTCTCTTTGTACGTGGTTCTTGAGGGCTTCTGTTCCAAAGGCGATTCATCATAGATAACAATGCACGCAACGTCATTCGAGTGACGTCAGGGGTATGCCTTAGCTCCCAGCGCGCTGCAGTGCGCGCAGCGTCGGGCGGTGAAACAGGGGTGCAGTCAAAGCCGTAAATAGGGGTGCAGTGTTTCACCGGTGATAGCAGCACGCTGCTATTCTGCTGACGCCACACTTGTGGTAGTGTTGAGCAATGGGCTTGTTGACGTCTCCATGGAAGTCCAATTTGACACGTGCAAGCAACAGCAGCGTGCTGCTATCACCGGTGAAACACCACCAGGGCCCTGACATGGTCTCGTCAGACCGACCGAAAGGGCCTAATCCAACAACAACAACAAAAAAAAATTGGTTTAGCGATATAAATGTGATGTATGTCAATACTAATAAATTCATCACTGATGCTCTTCAGGGATGCCAGTTGCTAATTTTCTCAAAATTTCGTTCAGGATCAACTGTTCAATCAGCAACGCGTTGCAATCAGCAACCTTGGTTGATGCAGTCCTTGATCAATAGGAGGGCTCAAACATTTTTTGCAGTAGTTTAAGGGTCGGTAAGCATCAGCTGTTCGCCAAAGAAAATAATCGACACTCCTGACGCAATTTAGAAGTTTGTAGCGCGGAACTTTTATATAAGGCAGATAAGGCAAAATTGTGTTCTTACCGTTCTAACTTCTAAGTTCAAGTTCATTTTATTTTGGTTAGAAATGAAGGAGTCAACGGTATTAAGTGTAGTTGCATCAATAGCGTTTGCCCTAGGAATTTTCGTGGGTTATGAGCTTAAAACTTGGAGGATTGAATGGTTGAAAAGACGTCGAGAAAGGCTTGCCAAGAAGCTTGCGGCAACTCAGCAGCAAATAGATAATTTGTCAGAGCGAGAGCGCTACTAGCATGTGGTAAAAGTAAGTATCAATACACATGGATCATTTTTCTTGGTTTCAGTGTTCTCAAAAGATTGCCATGCTGTGTGTGGCTCTCTAATCATTATGCAAGGCGAGGATGCTAGACAAACAAAACAAAGCCCTAATAAAACGGGATCCATATTCAGCTAATAAAGATCACTTTTTTCCATGTGCAGGGGTACTGAACTGAATGGGCATTAAGTAGCATGCATTCTATTAAAATGGATCATTCAGAATCCAAATGAGTACCAAGTTTCTGATAAGTTGAACTGCTGCATGCAACCTCATGCAAAATGGTATTTTTCAGACATTGCAATTCATGGCTGTAAGAGGAGTAGGAGGACTACTAACTGAAGCTGTTTCATCATCATCTGGTGGGTGGATTTTATACAAGAAATGGTGGTACGGGGCACCTGCTTCACCAGACCAGTGTATGATGGTGGTGAAATGCCAGCAACTGCAGACCTGCCCAAATGGAGCTCTATTGCACCAACATGGCAGTGATATGACAAAGTTTTAGCATAGATACAAGGGTAGATAACATCTGCTCAACTTCAACTTGTGACAGGACAGCTGTGACTTGTGAGTGGTCAGACATCCATCATCAAGAGCATGGAGTCATCATTGCTGAAACTGGACCTTAATTGTGTTGTTGCCCATCACAACAGTTGCTGTTTTTTATAATTATAATTGGCTTCATCACTTGTAATAAAATGGTCATTAATTCTGTTTCTAATTGCCCAGTGTGGAAAGATACCTTTCTGACTTGTGCTCAGAGCTCAGACAGCATTGTTGTGCAATATATGCTTTTTTTTTGTCTCACACTCAGTGACTTATTGACTACTGGTTAGTGAAAATGTAAGTGCATTGCTGTTGTAAGAATAACTACGTTTCTGGCACTGCCTTATTGCTGGATGCTTGTGAATAGATAAGGAAAACTTCGGTTGTTTTCCTATGCCTTTTTCTGCATAGTTGATGCATTGAAAAGTTAATTGATTTGAGTTCCAGCAGTATGACAAGTAGTCTTCCCTGTGGCCTAGTGTGTAAGGCCTCCGTCTCGTTACTCGATGGCAGCGAGTTCACGGCCGGGAAGCTCCACGTCCTTTGACCCACGTTCCTAGACCTAGTTCCTCATTACTACTTTCCAGCTGGCAAATGCTGAGAGAGGGCCACGCTCATAGAAAAAGCCTCGCTAGGCCCGAAAGGTCTTTGCCGCCATCTACCTGCGGTACATATTGATTCAAATTGTCACCGGTGAACCGGGTGCGGGCAAAGTGGGGTGGTGCCGTCCGTGGTGTCATTTGCAACGAGCGCTGCTTACCGGGGCACCCGGGCCCTCATAGCCACCCATTCATCCATTCGGATAACAAAAGTATATGTCTTCACTCTTCATCCTACCCCAATGCATTGATATCAAAATGTTTTATGGCGCTTAAATGAAAAATATATTGACACTATGTAAGAATCTTGATTAAGAATCTTGATTGACACATCCTGCATAATTCGACAAGACTTAACACCGCTATATTATCACTGATGACAGCAGACATAATCACATTAATGCTAAACCACTAAAATGATTACTAACTAAGCACTAAAACTAGACAACCAATTGTCAGTGATAACAGGTAATTCCCATTTTGCTACCCACATGATCCAGATCAGCGGAAACTGCTTTCAACCCGGGGAACCTTGGGAAGATCTTGACTCAACAACTCACCGAGATAACCCAAAGTGCACAGGTTTCATTTCAAGGGTTGACTTCAATTCGGAACATGGCGTCTTCTTACGCAATATTGTTTGCCAAGGCGAAATGTGATAACCAAAGTAATGATGTAATCTAGTTGGGAGAATTGCATGGTGTCTACGTTCTTCAGCTAAGCTCGTGTTGTGTGGAGTGAACTACTAGGGCGAGGACTGCGCTTCACTCTCCCGATAACCCGCCGGCCTGCATAACAGGCTCTGCTTGCGTGATCTCCAACTTTGATGGAAACAAAATTTACGCAAGAAAATAACTCGGGACAGCCTCACTCGCCAAGGATATCATAACCGCTATAGCGGTGTATGCTTTCCTTGGGAGTGGCTTTCAGACCAGACCCTGGCTTAAACTGGTGGTATCCGACGCTCAAAACGCAACCGTCTCCGCCACGAAACTGGCACTTAGCGTCGGACGCCAGTGCGGCTCAAACTGAAACTGGGCCAGCACATCGCATCATTCGTCGCATGGAACGACACGCTGTCGCTATCCGGATGGCGGATACAATATGTACGATGGTCGAAGTAATTCAGAGGTGACGAGGTCTAAAACAATTTACACCGTTCACGGTATAAATCTAGCGTTCAATGTGCGGAAAACTTATGGCACTTCATGTGTACCCAGGGGTGTCGTTTTCCGAAAATGATTGGTAGGGCCCAAAGACGGCGGCCGGCCTTATGTGACGGGGCTTACAAGGTAGGGTACCCCCAAATCTGCCTTTCTCATCGGATTTCGGCCACTTATTTTTTCGCCCTGGCCATTGACAAGACAAACCAAAATCTATAAAAAAAAAACTGGAAGTCTAGGTCCTCACCGAGCCCCATGCACAAAATGTGCAGTTATATGTATAGGCAATAGTGTCTGAGAAATGCACGCCATTCTGAAAGAGGCCCACGCCGACTTAAAAGGACGGCTGTGCTGAAAGGGGCCGAAAGGGGCCAGGAACGGCTTTGAGGGTCCAAGCTGACTAAAAAAGACGGCTGCGGGGCCGGGATGGCTTTGAAGACCCACGCCAATTGAAGGCTTCGACAACTAACGAGGTCTCGAAAACCATAATAGTTAGAAAGACCTGCTTGCCAAAATAAAAGAATGACAGTACGAGGGACGTTCAGAAGTTACAGGTCCGACCATGAAGGAGCAGAGAGATAGGTACAGCATCGACTTATTAGTCCAAAAAGTTCATTTATCCAAATAACCAGCGTTAACACATTTCGCGCAGCGTTTCGCGAGAGCCCTCAAGGTCTCCATAATCAAGTGGGTTTTGGACCTATCTTGCACGTCCAAGACGGCTGCTTTCGTCTCCCTGCTATCAGTGAAGTTGCCACTGCTAATTTCCTTATGTTGGGGAAGAGGTGGCAACCAGAGGGTGCAAGGTTCGGAGAAAAAAGTGGATGCAACGACTCGAAGCCACAGCTCACCGCTTCTCTGATCGTCACCCCGCGCATGCACCGCAGGTGGGTATGTACGCAGGTGCGTGGTCGTGGATCAGGTGCAATCTTAATGTCAGCTTCCCTATAGACTCTCCTTGATGTCTATCGAATGGACGCACAGCATCAATTTGCGCCCCTGTTATAGAAAAGAAAAGTGACGAGCAGAGCCCCGTCATTATCCCAAAATGCAACCACTTTATCACCTTGCCGACTAATTTCACCTCGTTGTATTCATTTGGTGGCCGCTACTCGGTGTGCTTCCATTTGCGCAACTCGGTCACGCCTTTAGGGTACGTGTGACGCCCACAATTCCTTTACGGTAACATATGTTGTTCAATGACATCTTCTAGATCTTCTATAAAGCGGCCAAAAACTCGCGCTAAGCCTCCTTTCGAGCTTGCCTTTTCTCTGCAGAGTCAGCAAACGGGGAATACATCTTGCAAAGATCTTAAACATACCACTCAAATTAATATACCTATGGCCTATTCTGGAGCACCGTGGCACCTTCCGAAGTCGGGGTAGGGCCTCCAGCGGCTGGTGTGGAGACGGATCGGGGTCTATTTGGGGCGGTCGCGTGGTGTGCGGCACTCAGAGGCAGTTATGGATCTCAACCAATTGGTCTTTCGAGCCTCTTAGAATCCACCAAGGGCCAGAGTCCAAGACACGACACCTCATTGTCGGCTACATGCACCTACTGTGGCCAGAACCTTTTATATGTGCATATGTGCTTATTTGCTTATCTGTTTATTTTGATATTTTTTATCAACTGATAAGTGACAAAAGATTGGTAGGGCTCAGCGAACATTGGTAGGGCCCAAATAAACATTGGTAGGGCTCGGGCCCTACCAGGCCTATACAAAACGACGCCCCTGTGTGTACCTTTCTCTCTCTCTCTCTCTCTCTCTCTCTCTCTCTCTCTCTCTCTCTCTCTCTCTCTCTCTCTCTCTCTCTCTCTCTCTCTCTCTCTCTCTCTCTCTCTCTCTCTCTCTCTCTCTCTCTCTCTCTCTCTCTCTCTCTCTCTCTCTCTCTCTCTTTCTCTTATTTGTTTGAACATCTAGGAAGTAATACACACGCAGTAAGTAAGCGCACATTAGGCCTGGGGCTGACGCTGTTTTTTTACTATACGCATTACGCATCAGGAGAGCAAACACAACTTAAGTGCCACGTGTGTCATTTCAAAGCTGCCTAGGCGACGCAATCTTCCGCTCAAACACATGTGTACCCTATTCATCTTGTGGAAGTCCATTCCATTGTAAAATTGACGACGGGTGCATTGCTTGGGGCATGGGAACTGTTCTGGGCATGTGCTAGTAAAAGTGGCCGCTCTGATATCTTTTAGAGATGAAGTAGAAGCTATAAAAGCAAAGGAGAGCCATTTTGATGATGAAGGTGAATTGCGACATTATTGACATAAATTCAATTAAAAATTTATTAATAGTTTGGGTTGACCATATCCGACAAAATAAGTTTGCAACCATTGCCTTCATTTATTGCATTGCTGCATAGTTTCAACACTATCTAAAAACGCGCCAAAATTGCGCTCACGCGACGCAGTCTTTGCAAGATTCTTTTGTTGTTTGTGAGTATTTTTTTAATTTTTAGTTATATCATTTTGGTTGGATGCTTATATTGAATTATAAAATATAAAGTCATTTTCTTTCTGCCTGACAAACCTTTCAGCTTTCGACCGTTCAGCCGGTTTATATTGATATAGCCTTGCCACCTTTCAGCCCGCTGCTCATGAGTCATGACGTTAACCCGGTTTACATTGCATTTTTGACGAGGCTCTAGCTTGTTAATTTGGCGATAATTTCGATGCAGTGGTCTTCAAATATTTAGAGGGGATCATTTTGTAAATTGTTAAGCACCATTGGCATCTTTTGCAACATTATGGACGGAGATATAAGCTTGCAACAAACCCTATGTAAACCGGGTTGTTGATGCTGATAGGAAAGGATAGTAGCTTTTCTGTCTGTAGTGTACCTACAGCAAATAAAGCCAATTGCCCGAAAGGTGAAGATCCTTAAAAAGCTAAATTAGCAATGAAAATTCGAGATTTTGTGTAATGATTTTTTTTTTTTTTGGGTGAAAGAGTGCATATCATAGTGCACTTATTACAATGGGAGATGCTTGAGCAGCATAGGTATCTAATCCAAATGACTTGTGACTGGAACTGGCTTCTTGGTGTCAGTTGGAAAAAACTTAAAAATACTGAAATTTTAATATGCATACCCAAAAACCAACTTTAACAAGTTTTCCCTGCATAAGCTTACAAGAGCTTATTCACGCACAATTGTGTCATGCGCCAGTTTTATATGACAAAGGAGAAGTTTTAATTTCATTAAAATGCAGCCTGATTTATGCAGGAGTTTTAGTAAATGTGAAGATGAAGTCTGATTAGATAAAAAAAAACAGAAAGTGGCCACAATTCCAACACTACTCAGTAGTGGTTGATATCTACTATGAGTAGTAGCAGGACTCCTACCACTAGTTGACATGACCCGACCTGGCCTAAACACATGGAGACTTCATCTGTGCCCAAAACTAACATGAAATTTGTAATCAGCACCCAGAAAAACCCTTCAACGACCTCACTATGAAGCTCTGACAGTTCCCGATATTTCTGACTTGTGGGTCATTGACCCAACCTGGAAGGTCAACCAATGACCAAGGACCTCAAAACTGAGCATTATCGGCTTCCTCTCATCACGGGCAAGATGCTGGTATTTTCTGCAAAGCTCTAGCTCGATCTGGGGCCAAATGGCAAGCGGGGTCCAACGGACCTTAAACACCAAGATGGGCGAAGGCTAAATAATACATATTTCTTAAACACATACTGTGATGCTTATATAAGCATGGATGTGGCACTTATCATTTAAGTGTGTTTTTGTTGGGTTTCAGGGAAAAACATAAACATGTAGCAACTAGCAACTATATATTTATTGTTTCCCTTACCATCATCCATCTTTTTTTTCACAGGAGTGAAGTTCTGGGAAGAAGCCAAAAGCAACTAGTTATTCTTGAAAACATGTCACAAAAATCTCTGACTGAATTCTTCCATCCAAGAAAGAGGCAGAGACCAGAGACATTAAAGAATGAGCCAGCTAAATCTGTCTTATCTAAAGGACTAGATGTGCCTGTGAAAAAGGCAAAGCGATTGAAGAGGGATATTGTTGAACCTAGTTCAGCAGGAAATGGGGTGCAGTTCCACCTGAGCAAAGAGCAGGTTTTGAAATCCTTAAAAAGTCAGGGTGATGTGGATTTCCACTCAAAGTCACCTGCCAAACATGCCCATCTTGCCAGACTCAAAGAAAGACTGACTGATTTCAAGACTGCCTCTCAGACCCTCAGGGACTTCAAAGCTGGCAGTGATGCTCTGGGTGCAACAAAAACTGATTGTGGTGTGTTTACGGCACAAGAACCAAAAGCTACAAGTGCCTCGAGGCCACACAACTCGACTCAAACATTTGTGACAGCAAAGAGCGTTCAACGCAACTTGTTTGGAGGATCAGATGATAAGCCTGCACCACAGAAAGAAAAACTCGCTGATAGTGCACCAAGACCGGGAGTGGCTCCGGGTATGTCGCCGCAGAAGATGAAGGAATCGCTGATGAAGTGCAACAACATCGGTCAGCTGAAGGAGCGGCTCGCGGGCTACAATAACGCTAAGCAGAAGCTGAAGGACTTGCAAGCCGCCAAGGAGACGCTCAGCGCCAAAGATCAGATTTCCAAGCCCAAACAGACGCTGGAGTTCGAGATCACCAGCCCAGTGAAGACCCCCAAGAAGAGTATCGCCAGTCCGTCCCCTAAGAAGACCCCGGCGTACGAGCGTTTCCAGCACCTTCTGCACGACACGCCCTCGACGCTCTCCCTGCCGTACAAGTACCGCTTCCTCAAGGAGGCGTTCCACTGCCTGGATACTGTGGCCTCCTTCCTCCACAACAGGAAAGAGATAATCACATTCAAGAAGCTGAAATCGTCAGTGCAGGAGATGCTCACCAAGAACTTCACCGAGGCTCAGCTGGCGCAGATCAAGACGGTGTTTCCGTTTGCCTACATCTTCAGGCGAGAGAAGAACCTGCCCAACCACAAGGTGACGCCCAACAACAAGAACAAGTGGCAGCTGACGCTGGAGGTCAACACAAACTACGAGTCCGGTGAGTTGATGGAGCTGTCTACTACTGACGGCACTTTTCCAACATTCCTATGTCCTATACACTCGTTGACGAATATTTCGTTGATTTTGAGCTACGCGTGACTGTCGTATGGAGTACCGGCTAGTTTCTCCCACCGATGTAGTGATCTGGTATATTGTGACTTGTAAGGTTCGCATGAACTACGTCTCAATAGTATTGCAGTCACAGAGAGGAAATCGGGTCCTTTCAGCATTCATGTAGAAATAGTAAATAGCTGGAAGTGGTTCAGCTTGGGTTTAGCCTCGTTTTATGAAAGGCTTATTTGACTCATGCACTTAAGTCGTTTGACAGCCTCCAGCGTCTCTCTGGAGGACGTTTCATTTGGATGGCCAGATGAAGCCAAAAAAGCAGGAATGTTTCCCTCACACCCTCAGAACTTTGGCATTAATCCGTTGAAACGTATTTTCCCTAAATGACATGAACCTCCGGGTTTCCAGACATGAAGTCTCCGGCGCCGGCCGCCGAATCGGTCGGCTCGGCGCCGCAGAGTTCGGTCGAATACCGCAAACTCACGCCGGGAATGCTGCTGCAGCGCGGGCGCATCTTCCACGCGGCGCTGGTGGACCTGGTGCTGCAGCACCACCAGGAGTTTCTGCTGCAGCTGGACCCGCCCGTCACCGTGGATCCTGCGCGCATCACCCGCTGGCACCCGCAGTTCCCGCTGGAGGCGGTGCCCGACGTGCCGGCCGCCGAGCTGCCACAGCCGCCGGCCGACGAGACGGGCGGCACGGCGCGCGACGTCCTGGAGCGCGCCCGCCACATCGTCTCCAAGTACCCCCACCTGCGGGAGACACTGGAGGCGGTGGCTGGCCCGGCGCCGGAGGCGGCCCCGTCCGAGCCCCAGCCCGGCCCCAGCGGCGCACAACCGGCCGCACCGCCGGCGGGCGCCGGACGGCTGCCGGCCGGACTGCTGGAGCGGATCCGCGCGCGCGAGGCGGCGCGTCAGCAGCGGCTGATGACCCGAACCCCGGCCGAGAGCCGGCGGCTGAACATGCTGGCCCGTCTGCCGCAGCTGGTGCGCAGCCTGCGCGCCACGTTTGTCACGGAGCGGCGCGCCGCGCTGCCGCTGGAGACGGTGATGACGCGGCTGTCGGACAGCAGCCGCGGCCTGGCCGAGTGCGACGACCTCCGTAAACACGTGGAGCTACTGGCAGAGGAGGCGCCGCAGTTTGTGCAGATCGTGCAGCTCAAGTCGGGCACCTTCGTGAAGCTGGTGAAGGACGTGGATGTAAATGCTGTTGTGGCGTCGCTGGAGAAGAAGTTGGAAAAACAGTGATATTATAGGGCTGACTCGTCAGCTGATCAAGGCAATGACACAAGCCTTTCGTGGACCAAGCCTTACGTAGCCCTGGTCCACATGGACTTTGGTCCGCGTGATAGCCCGTTGAGCAGGGCTATCACGCATCGCATGTCTCGATTTATTACTCTTTTTTTGTCACATTCATTTTCGCTGCCTGCCATGGGTTCACCACACCATACACGTCACCTACGACTAATCTGCTATGAAACCGGCCATGCTCAAATACATCTGTAATTTCGTAATTCGTATACCTTTGTTAGGAAGAAGTAACTTGCTTAACAGACGGACTCTGACCTTCAGGTTTAGCTGACAACCTCTGAGGCCCGCAGTAATGGTGCTCATACTGCCCTCTAATTGTGTGCACCGTTTCTCGCTTAGCGGTTCCAAAAACAGGACGCTGGTAGACGCCCATACGGTCTTACCACCACACGTGCTTTTGATCAGAGAAACAAAGCGTTAGTAACGCAACAGCTTGTATTATTCGACGCGCACAGCTGTGATTATACGCACATCGACATTGTCTCACACGAACACTGAAAACCCAGCCCTCGGCGAGACGGCGACGGCTGACGGACGCGTCACGTCGGTCACGTAACTATGTACCTAATTTGTAGCCTACGACCAGTCCGACAGAGCGCCCCCGTAACAACATTCGACCAGCCCGGGCCGACGGCGGAGAATAGACAGAGGGAAACGTACATCCTCCTTGTGCGAAACGCCTGGATCAGGGCGCCTGTACAGACGTGAACTGACGGACCGGGGAGACTTGAGGCCAGGATATAAATTCAGTCGATGAATGTAGTGATGAAAGGAAACCAGGCCACCATTATTTGTTGGCTTTTACTTGAATTGAATCTTTGCACTATGGCAGGCTCGAAATTCAGTGTAAACAGTCGCGGTTAGTATACACGAGGCATGTCTGCACATACGCATAGGCTCGGTAAGCAAGGAGTACAGCATGCCACCAGTTCAACCTGTGGCAACGCGCTAACTGAAAGATAGAACTAGCACAAACCCAGCGTTACAATATAGTTGACGACCCTTCAGGCCGACCGTATATTTATGAGACACAAGTTCGTCGTACCTACTAACCATTGCAAGTACTAGAACCCAATGCGCAACATGCAACACCATTCCTTGAACCCAGGCTAAGAGAATGTCACATCCACGCCAGGCTATGGTCAGATCTACACCAATTTGTCCTTCCATCTCGGAGTTCATATTTATTTGAATAACAAGCAATAGTATAAATTTTGTGGCTTAACAACTCCATGAAAGAGCGCAGTTAAAGAATATCTACAATGATAGTGTTATGGAATAGCATAATCATGCTTTTCGAAGTATTCACGTCAACGAAGAATTGAAAACATTGTTCACCACGCAGTGTCCTGAAATCCTCGGCTACTGAAGGGTATAACCGAGTGGCAAAGTCATCGGCCCTCTCAACACGACACAGGAGATAGAGCGAACCACGATACAGCACATGTCACACTGGGCCCTGCTTCCGAGAGAAAGCGCACGTCGAGAATCAGCCACTCGAAAACTTTGGTTACGCTCGTCTTTTGCATTCGCATCCATATCCCACCGTCATCTCAATACATTACCATTTGCTGGTCCTTCTCAGACCCACAAACCTCACATCGAGCGCTACATATACAGAATGCCACTAGTCGCAGACCTATCTCAAGCGGGAGCAGGGATACATCCAACACCGGGAGCACACTGGAAACAGGAGAACAGTCGCCATAGGCCCCGGATACGGCTCCATCACGAGCCACACTCACCGCCCATTATGTACAGCAGTAGCCACCGGAGCTCGCCAAAGCAACATTAAAAACCACACGAGAAAATTTAATGGAGCGGCGTACAAAAATACGGTAATGGGTAACCATGGTCTTCTAGAAGTCAGCTAGTTCCTTTTCTGGTAGTAACTACAACAAACGGACACAGGAAACCCGGTCCCCGGGCGGCGCATCGATTTGGCATCGGGTTACCATAGGTCGGCTGCCGACGTCACAGGAGCGCAGCCACCACGCCGGACCTGAGGCAATGCGCCGTACGTAACCCACCACCAAACGTCGGCCGGTCGCTCATAGGAGAGTTGGGCCGCCAATTCAAACAGCGCATAGGAGACCCGAACCGCCCAGTACGACACTAGACAGTCGGGTTCAACAAAGTACCCGGGCCGTCCATTTCAGGCCATACAAGAGGCCAGAACCATGCGGTCTGTTGATTCTGAACCGTACGGTCCGGCGGCATATATAGGATACCCGAACCGTTCAGCCCGACAGCACACAGGAGACCCGAGGTATCGGGCTCAGAAGTCCGCTAATGCACCATAGACCACGCAACCAGTGCCTCCTTCGCAAAGTACTCACCGGTAAACTGAAAGAATGACTCGCTCACTATGTCTGCCTCATAGTGATTACATTCCCTTACCCTAAAATACGCCCACCGCCCGCGGTGCGGAGACCGAAGGTTGTATCAGCTCACCCAGAAAACCTCACCCCTGGGCACCGCCGCGCCCCACGAACCCCGCCTAAAGGGCTCGCACGGGTCGCTCCCCGCACAGGCAGACGGCCGGCCGGGTAGGCAGACGGCAGTAGCTAGTCGGGCGGAGGCTGCCGTCTTCCCTATATCGAGTTCATTGAGGAGGAGTGTGAGGGCGCCGCGCCGGAGCCGGACGCCGGCGGGCCGGGCGCTGCCGAGCCGGGGGTGGTGGCTGTCGGCTGCCCGGGTGTCTCCTCCAGCGAGTGCTGCAGGGCCACCGGTGTGAGCCACTCCTTGGGCAGACAGCGCTCCAGGAACGGCACCATGGCGCTGACCGAGGCCAGCCGGTTCACCCACGAGGGGATCTCGCGGCCCGTCAGCAGCTGCGGGCGACAGGACGGCGTCAGAGCGAGGTTAGAGGGCGGCGAGACAGATAGAGGGGTTAGACGGCTGTCAGAGATCGAGTCAGTAACCTGTCAATTACCAGAGATGCCTGCATGAGCAAGTAAGGATCGCAACCAGTTTTTTCCCGTTGCACTCAGTATCGTTATCCGTTTGCAAAGTGTATTTACTCCGTTAATGTACCCCGGTAAGTGCCTGATATCGCCACTTCTTATACAAAGTATAGTAGAGCGTGTAATACTGTCTGATAACATGGAGATTGGAGGGTGCTTTCTACCAATACTTTTTTCTAACTATCCCCAGCCCCGAAAGCTAATCCAGAACTGCCAAGGAAGCCAAAATGTGTCAGTTCAGTTCACACTGAAACTCAGCAGCCACGCTTAGACGTCAACGAACGAAACATTAGGGCTTCCGCGTCAAAACGCGTCTCCGTGGTCGACACTCGACTGAATGGGAAAGGGGCCTGACCCAGTGACGTAAAACAAACACTGAGTTGCGATATCGATCGATCCCTTACCTGTGACAGATTGGATGTGAAGTGGTTGCAGTTTTTGTTGATAAGATGATATCGGTCACCGCGAAAGTCCTTGCCCATTTCCTCGATGATTCGATCCAAGTCGTCTCTGGTGAAGTCCGTGTACCCTAAATGTATAGATTGTCTGCAAATGACAAGAGTATTGTCAGCGTAAACGGTAAACATCACGGTAGTATACTACTAAGAGCAACTGTGAAGTTAACCACTGCTCCTTGAACAAAATAGTCTGGATATATAGGAGTCTAAAGTCTGGATTAAGATTTAAAATATGCTCACAAATAAACACCACTTTAAATGTCAAACATCTATGGCCTGTATGGGTCATGAAACCTTTAACACTATACCAAAGGGTCGATGGGTGATAGAGAGGGACGATGACCCAGAAATAAGAAGAGCGTAAATAGCGTAGTAAATGACCCCTGGGGTTTGGTCAGTCCATCTCTCAACAGGTGCGGATAGCGAGTCAAAATGGCGATCAGCCGCTGGCGGAACCTACTTGAACTTGAACTGTTCACCGAGGTCGTCCGCGTCCCTGGGTCGTATGGTGAACACCCCCGAGAACGGGAACGGGTGGCCGCCGTACGCATACTCTGCGGCGAGAGGAAGGGCGAACGGTCAGACATACGGTGACGAGGGAACAGACTCGTATAGACTGGTGTCAGCAGGTGACACACTGGTCATACGCCAGACGACGTGGCAACTGAGTCCAATCTGGCCCTGGTACCTATGTCAGATAGGGATTGGGATAAGTGCGGTCTAAAAAATCCACAGAGTTAACCGCGGTAAAAGTATCCCACGTTCAATAACTACGCGCATTTAGGTTACTTTCAGTTTGACAACGCCCATAAACATTCGTTTCCACTCAACAGTAGCCTATAAGTTCCAACTCACCAAAACCGTAGATCTCTAGGCCGGAGTGAAAGACGCCGAACCCGATGTTCGAGGTATACTCGTTTATCCAGTACTGCAAAAGAGGACGATATATGAGCAAAATAACCACAAGCAATCATGATTACACGTAAGGTGATATCATGATCATGAAATAATGAACTTTGATTCGTCCTTCCTGGGGTCTAGTGGATAATGTTCATACCATTTACGACATCCAGGGGCAGCAATTTTGAAGCTGCAATGGTGAACAAAATAGTTCGCTAAAATATTATTTCCCTGTAAATGCTACTACGCTTACGTTTATATAAAGGTGTCTTTGATAGTATCACATATCTCCTTTAATCAGTTGCAAACTGCACAGGTCAGAGCTCCACCGCCAGCAGCCGTGTCTCACTCACCATGTCATAAACATTGAGAATGACCGGCTCTCGCGCCATGCCGCCGGGCACAGAGAGGTCGTCCGACAGATCCTGCTGATATCCCAAACAGCTGGGAAACGTCATCCGACAAAAATCTCCGAGACCGCTAGACATCTACTGCAGGCATTCCATACATCCTGAAACAATCATACACAAGGAGTTGAATCATAGTCATGGAAACAAAGGGAAAACAAATGTGACAAGGACTAAGCAGTGTGATGGCACCAGTACACTGCTCACCAATCCCATTGATCGTTTTGTTTGTTTTGTTGGGAGCACGCTCTTCTGGACTGAAAAGGCCATTGCAGAGCTATTTGGGATGATAATATAGGGTCGAGACTGGAGACATTAGGCTGTGGTCTGTGTGGACCACCGACGGCACGCCGCAGCCCGCAGCGGCAGAGTCCGAAACGGTTGGACGGGAGCAGCGCCGCAGAGTCGATGGTTCTTCAGCGACTTCGACTCTGATGGTGGCTTCCCAATATCGACTGCAGACAGAACTGTCAACTCTGATCTGGCTCTGACTTTGCAGCCCTGGCAGGTCTGCAGAGTTAATGGATTTTTGGTGACTCTGGCTCTGACTTGGAACTCAGAGCTGTCGACTCTGACCAGCTTCATTGCTCCACATCTGACCCCATAGCCCTAATCAGGAGTAAGCCATTGCCTGCCTTATCACTCTATCCAATGGTTACCCTGGATAGATTGTAGATCAACCAAGATCTTGCCTTCACTACTGGTTGTCTGGTGGGGTGACTGCCAACATGGAAAGGGTAAAAAGAGCAGGGATGTGGATGGGTTGGTCCTGAGGTCTGTGGAAGGTCAGATGGTTGCCACAACAGTAAGGACAGATGAATTGATCATGAGATTGATCAAAAATCCTTTTGATATTCTTAACCCGCGCACCGACGGGGGTCTGCGCCAACTTCGCACCGACGCACAGTGGGGATTTTTCCGATCTAGCACGTATTTATTCGTAGAGGGCAAACCATAGGTAGAATTGTAGCCAGATTGTGCACAGATGTTGGCTGGTGTGTCCTGGTGAGAATTTTACCTGTAAATGTGCATAATCAACATAGTATAGGGGGTTCAATTGGACCCCCCGCTCAGCCGTTTGGCCCCTGATCAAGCTAGAGCTTCGCGGAAAAGTCAAGCGTGCTGCCTATGACGAAATTAGGCCGAATATATCCAATTTCAAAGTCCAAGGTCATAAATAAGCTGACTTTCCAAGTCAGTTTAATGACCCAACTAAAGTTGGGAAATCGAGACCTCTTGAAACTTCGCAAAGTTAGGGTGTTACGGGGTATTTTGGGGTGCTGATCACGAATTTCGTGTTAGTTTTGATCACAGACGATGTCTTTATGCATTTAGGCCAGGTCGGGTCAGGTCAGGTTAGATCAATTAGTAGGCGTCCTGCCGGCCATCCATAGAAGTGTCACCTACTACTGATAGCTTCGTAACATGGAACGAAGGCACTAGAACTACTTCGTAAATATTCAAATGGCTGCTAAAATCTAAATCAGCACCAAAAACTACCCTAGAAACAAGTAAAACTCGAAAAAGTGAACCAAGGTCATCAAAAGGTCAATGACCTTGACTTGACCTTCACGTGACCTTGACAACCACCATTATGCATGACACCAACATCATTTCACATATTTGAACGTTTAAAACCACAAAAAGACTGGAAACCGCGGATAATGTGAGCTGGCATACGCCGAATCGCGATTCCGGCCAAACATGGTCTCGAGAAATATGCCACAGGTCAAAGGTCAGTTGGGTCAGAGTCATGAAATTTTTAGGTTAGATGTAAAATTGATGATCTCGTGGGTACCGAAAGTTTCGGCGCGATCGGCCGCTTTTTGCGCGAGTAATTTGCGGAAAACCATGGGGTTTTATCCGACCCCTTCCCCTTCCCCCTCCCCACAAGTGCGATGGTTAATAAGGTTACGGTATGTATAATTTACGCTTGTCATCCTATTCCTAATGAATGTGTCTCAGAAAATATGCATCATATAGATCACGAAGTAAAATTATTCGCCTATGTCCGGAACATACCTATATCGTGCTGCTTGCCCTAGCGCTCCTCGAGTGGGGTGTTAAGATACTCTAATGTGAATATTCCGTGTTCAGGCAAGTTTCGGCAGCCAAACTAGGCGTTGTCTTGTGCAGAAGAAAGTGGCGAATTCGATAGGATATATTTCGGAGTGGAAAAGTGTGGAGAACATTGTTGATTTCCTACATTTATTTATAATACCATTCCTTCAACATGGTGTCTGTAAGTTTTTTTTGTAAAGGGCATTTTTGTGACCTTAGTAAGGTTGTGGCATACTTTCTGTTTGCCATTCCATTCCTAATAAAGGTGCCTTTCAGACGATATGCAACTTTAAGACCTCGCAAGATTAAAACCAACAGGACAGGACAATGAAATTGAGCTATACATTCGGGCCTTGCTGAGCCCATTGAGTAATCACGCATGAGTGTGAACTTTGGGCGCATTTTTCCTAGTTTTGCTGTGGACATACAGATAAAACAATGCCATATATGAAAATTCAGACATTTCTTAGCCCTACTAACACAAAAAATAAACCAAAATCAAAAAAATATTTTTTGAATTAATAGGCGCTAGATCGGAAAAATCCCCACTGTGCGACGGGGGGGGGGGGGCGGATGACCGCCCCCCCCCTGAGATCTCGAGAACGCAGCAAGATAGCGACAAGCGGTAAACGGCATCGGATACGCACGGTCAAGATCTACAATTTTTACTGAGGTCATTTTCAGGTCAGGTCAAAGATGACGTCACAGGGGTCGAAAAAGTCAAAATGGCGGCGCTAGATATGGAGAGAGTTTTTCTCGAATAACTTTCGAATTAGTCAAGATAGGAACAAACTAAGGGCATCATCGTGATCCTCTCGTCAATCTGCATCGAATGATATATATGTTGACCTCGAAAGGTCAAGGTCAAAGGTTGACCTCAGGTCACGTGACCTCGAGGTCATCATGTATATCATTCGATGCGTCTTGACGAGCTGAACACAATGCGACCATCCACGCGTCTGTATCTTGTTCCTGTACGGAGTTATTGGCCAAAAACCTTTGGTGACCTTTAATGACGTCACATGACCTCACAGCCGCCCAACAGCAAAACAGACCTCAAGGTAGTGAAGGTTGATCGTATATGAAGTCATGTATGGTATATGGGGCCATTCCGACCCGTTTTAGTGGTAAAAACAGGGAGTTGATTTTTCCCCCATTGACTTATAATGGGGAGGTCGCGAAATTGACCTGACCTTAGGTCACCGATATCAAAATTCCGAGATATACAAATTGTAGCTACTAATGACCTAATAACATCCTGCGACTTTCAAAGGCCTCCGACATCTACTGTAGCTCTGGCACGGTGACAAAGTTGCAAAAAAAGTGACTTGAGGTTGGGTCATTCAAAGTGACCTGGTGACCTGACCTTGAAAGGTAGGAGGTTCAAACTTGCACACCATGTGTAAAATTGATGATGAAATAGTCGTACCAAATTTCGCGGCGCAAACCTCAGGGGGGGGGGGCAGATATCCGCCCCCCCCCGTCGGTGCGCGGGTTAATGATGTTACTTCATACTTCATAGTTCATTACTTCCTTTACTTTTTGCAAAGTTAGGCCTTTTGGGTCTACTAAGACCTTTGCAGAGCTGAGTAGATGATGGTACTTAGAAAGACACATAATGGCCTGGCTAGTTACTCTTGTATGCCACTGGGGTTGAGCCTGTCATGTAGACACTGAGCAGGCCAGTAGCCCAGCCACACAGAACTGCTAACAGAGCACCACACCTGAGCCCTGTTCAAGTGCTCTGCGGCCGCCGCGGCTCCCGCGGCCGGGAGGCGGAGCCTAATTTCGGTTAGGTTGAACACCCTCGCGGCTGCGGCCGCTGCGGCCGGCGACGAGAATGGCACGGTGGTTTTGAAAGGAGATGCTGATCAAAATTTTGTGCATAATTGCTTTATAATGGCTTTATTACTTCAATTAGTACCTTTTTGAAGCAATTATTCCTTAACAACATAATAAAATCAACCGAAACAAAGAGCGAAATCCGCAATGCTTTGTCTCACGCGTGCAGTTTATGTCGAAGCTTCCCTGCGGTCGCTCCCGAGCGACCGCGGGAGCCGCAGGAAGAGCTACGCATTACCCAGAATGCTGCTCTCGCCTGATTGGCCGCCAGCTAAGCTCCGCCTTTTTGGCCGCGGGAGCCGCGGCGGCCGCAGACACTTGAACAGGGCCCTGGACATGCCCCTGAGCCCTGAGGACCTACTCATGCTGGATAATGGTGACCATCAAATCCAGAATTGAGAGCAGGCCGGGGTTTCAAGTGTGGAAGATAAGAATTTGACTATCTTGAGGATGCAGAATTCAAAGAGAGAATAACCTCCTCCTTCTTTGTGAATGTATAAATAATAAATTGCTACATTAGGTATTATCTTACTATGATATAGTTGGCATTTACCAATCTGTGACAAGTGCACAGTTAATTTTGTAGAACGGCCCAGCCAGGGACCATTAAACTGCATCATCCTGCAGTTGCACGCAGCACTCCCCTGGGTATCTACATCAGCATGCTAAAAAGTTCCAGATGTTAGAGCATTCAATTTGGATTTGAACTTTGGAAGTTCACACTTCAAAACCATCTAAAGATTTGGCCATTTACTGGTCAGCCCTGATCACTGATATGTCTCTTCTATGCCATTATTGTTTCGGGGGTGTCATAACATCACTGCAATTAAGAACAATATGAGATGACACTGGGGCCCAAAAATCTTAGAATGCAATGTCTATCTTGATCTACCTCACACTTCACGGTGAAACCAGATGATGTCACCAATCAACCACCCGCACTAGCCTGCAACACACTGGCTCAGTTGGGCAAACTAGACCTTTGGAATCAAAATATGGAGGCATCAAAAGATTGATTCCTTTTGGGCATAAATGCAGACCATTTCTAACTAACCAATCACATAAAAATAAGAGAGTGTTTCAAGAAGGAGCATGCCTGATCTTGAACAGAAATGCTTGAACTATCTCCTAAGCAAAATAATATTGCTCCTATCATAACAATTCGAATTCTATAGGTAGTGAAAGGCAATCAAGGAATTGA